GCCTCGTCGTAGAGGGTGCCCGGGCTTGCGTTGTGCTGCACCCACTCAGTATGTATGCCCAGGTCGTGCAACATCTTCATGTCCTCAGTGTGCTGCACGAGGTTAAGCTCAGGCAGCTGAAACAGAGAGAACCCGACACTCCAAACTCGTGGGAAGCTCGCGATGTGTGTTCACACACCAGCTGCAAACGCAAGAACCAGCACTTCCAGCAGGGTGATGGGCTGGCTGAGGAACCACACCAGCAATGCAATTTGAGTCCGGGCTTCTGCGTCTTCGAAGGCGTGGTGGTCATGGGGCAGCTGGTGCGCCGCGCTTCCCCTCGGAATCCAGCAGCTTGGGACGAAGCAGTATAGAGAGACAGCCCCAGACGGGCCAGAAACTTCAGTCACAGTCTGGTGTTCCCAAAACCGCTCTCGTGATCTTAACCACCAGGACCTTCAGTCCCATCGCCATCCCCTTCATCAGCATCATTATGAACATCATCACTCGTGCTCCGAATCGCCACCATGTCATCCACATCCTTGTACTTCCTCGGCTTCCTCCTCCTGCTTATTCTGCTCCTCCTTCTCTAGACTCTAAACCACCACCATCATCAACAGCAGCTGATGAGATGATGATCATCATCATCATGATCATGATGATGATGGTGATGATGGTGACGATGATGGCAGTGGTGGTTGTGATCGTGATCGCGATGTCGATGGTGCAGTGAGGACGGGTGGTGTTGATGATGGTGGTAGTGGGGATAACAGTTCGTGCATGCTTACATCCATGACACAGACATGAGCAAGAACGTGCGGCACCCCTGTAGCCACAGGAGACCAACCAGATGACATGTGCCCAACCTCATCCGTTCATGGAGCTCAGACCTACTTCTTCAGATGGTCGCTGCTGAACTGCGAGACTTGTGCCGAAATAGGTCCTCTACATGGAACTTAAGTCGACCCAGAACGACTGACCACGGATTCGAGGACCTTGATAATTCACGTCGCCATGGAAAGCACCCCACACCACGTCGTGAGCTCCTGGCGGACTAGCCTTCAGCGCATCGGCGATACGCTGCCTCACCTGGCTTAGGCTTTAGGATTTGGGGTGTAGCTTCGGGTCGCAGGGTCGCGTGGCGCAGGAAGCTTAGAGCGCAGAAAAAGCAGTGAATCACCAAGGCAAGGATCTCAGATCTCGGAGTGTTCAGAGGAGGTGGGACAATGCTCCCTGATTTCACTCTGCTGTGACCACATGGGCACCCGCAAGGATGTGAACTGTGCAAGTCTCGAGCCTGGCGCATTGCTTCGAAGGGGAAGCCAGCTGGGAATAAAACGATTTCCAACCGGGCTAGCAGCACTAGCATTCCCAATGCCAATGTAGAACAGCTCGCCGTTGAAGTCACAACTAATGGTAGCAGTAGCCGTAATCGAGATGGGGAATGACCGAAAAGACCGAAGAAATGTCATACTACCAGGCCCGAGCTGTTCCGTGCGGCTCTGCAGCTCAAGATGAGCCGGAAGGTTCACTCCAAGGCTGAAACTGGTTTAAACTGCAGGGTCTTTTTCGGAAACCAATGCTCAATTAAAAATCGAAGGATTTGGGGCTCAGGGGGTGGAGCTGAGAAGTGCGGGTGGCATGCACCCAACGGTGCCTTTGCTTGGTCGAGGCTTCTGCGGCCTCAGAGTGCAATGGTTGAGTCTGTGCTGATTGCCATGGAAGCGAGACAACAGCATCAGCACCTTCATCGTCACCATGACCATCATCTTCGGCGCTGCCATCATCATCACCACCAAAAGTCACTAGCACCATTGCCTGAAGCATCATCAATAACACCATCAACCGTAGCATGTTCATGAGCTAGCCTTCCTCATCTCCTTGTGACCATTACCATGGCGATCATGCCTCTCACTGTAGTTTTCTCTTGATGCTGTTGCGGTCAACGGACCAGGAAGAAATATATCGTCGTTTTCTGGTAACTTATACGCACATGCAACGCTGTCGGCTTCTTTTTGCTACAACTCCTGACGCTGTTGATGCATTTGATCGGTGTCGTGAGGGCCAGTGTCCCTCAAGCTCCTATTTTCTTCTTCTCTTCGTAGCCCATAGTGGTCGTTGTTCTTGTCCTGTCCTCGCCATCGTCGCTCGAAACCCAACAGCAATGCTCACTCGCCATCGTCGCTCGAAACCCAACAGCAATGCTCACGCCCATGCCAATGTTCAGGTTGGTGCTCATACTTCTGCTAGATGTTCCCGTGCACATCCTGATGATCCTTCCAACTTTGGTCCCACTCCTCGTGCTTATGCAGGTACGAGGTTTGCTATCCACCTGCAGCACTGCACGCAACTACCTCATGTCAGCCTGTCGTGTCCATTCATGTTTAGGTTCTCGTCGTTTGTTCCTTTGTCAACTGCTCTCATCCCATGCTCGTCGGAACTGTGCAGAGCACAGTGCCCCAGGACATCCCAGGACATTTTGTCGAGATCTGGGGACTTAGGATGACTTAGGATTCGGTAAATCGTGAGTGGTACCACGTCTTCCACCTGCGGTTTCAGGATTTATGAGTTTATAAGGATTAAAGTTTATGCTTCAACATACGAACGGTTTATTGACGCAGACCCCTGATGAACAACTTTTGCTTCAAAGCCTTAAAACCTGGATCGCTCTTCTGATCCTTCTTAAGAGAGCGGGTTCATAAATCCGCATATAAACGCCTTCAACAAAAATCAAGAAACTACAACAACACGATGAAGACCTCAAGAAACCATGAGCTCTCCAGATTCTGCGTCTGCCCAGGGGCTTCCATGCAGACACCGGAGGCCGACCTGGGAGCCTCGCAGCAGAGGCCTCCCGAAAAGCGAAGATTGCGAGGCTCAAGGTTCAGAGGCTGTGGGGATGTTTTGGGATTAGGGTTATGGGTGTGGGCTAAGGGAATTTGTGGGTCTTAGGGTTTCGATTGAAGGGTTTCGGATCAGGCTTACAGGGCGTGAGCGTGAGGGTTCAGGCTTCAGGATTGAAGGGCTTGGGGCTTAGGGTCTCGGATGTTGCGAGCGAATCTTGGGGATTAGGTTTCGTATTAGATCACACCGGTTGGATACAACGAAGTTACGTATGATGTGGATATTCGGCACTATTCGACACATGACCCGCCTCAGCAGTGACGTGCGAGATGCCATGCTGCGATGAATGGCCGGTCGCCAAACTGCTAACCCAGATGATGAGCCGATATCTTGCTCGCTTCATGCCGCACGACAAGCCCCAAAACAAGATGACTATGCAGTTCCCCAAGACAGCGGAGGTAGCAACACAAAATTCACATCAGCTCGTTATTGAATTTTTCATACGCGCCACATAGTTGCATATGTGGCCCAACATCTCCCGGGCATGTCCCTGGCGCCGACATGCATCGAAACACGTGCAGCCATGCCATGAACGGAGTGTCTGAGGGAGGCTTGATGCACAAAGCATCCGCCATATGTCTGTTGCGCTGCCATGCGCTGCCTCCGTGTAGTTCAACACGCACGGCTCTCAGGACTAAGGGCTCAGGCTTAACATGCTGAGATGTGCTGAAGCTCTAGTTTTGAGCTTACTTTTGGGGTTTTGGGGGAGTGAGGGAGATTCGACGCGTTTGCCAAGCGCTGCCTTTCGGTGAAGACAGGATCTCTGATGGCCCGGGTTTTTTTGAAGGTTGTTTGGGGGGTTGTGAGTCCCGGAGTTCCCAGGGCCTAAGCCCATCAAAAAAATAAACACCCTGGGATGCATCAACTCAGGTCCGGTCACTGGTCAGGTGCATGTGGGGGCCTGTTTCGGAGGTTGGGAGTGGGCAAAGGCCTTCTACCGCGTTCAAGTCTACGAAGGTCTTCTGAGTCAGAAAGAGCAACTTGTCCGCCAAGCAGAGAATGGAGTCACGGTTTCACTGGTTTTTGCCGTATTGGTACAGTTGATAAAGTCCAGCACCGTTGTGAGAAGGCCTTCTTGACAGTGCTTGCGCAACCCTTCGAAGAGCTTTCGGCCGACTCAGCGGCAAGCCCAGCTGGGAGTAACACCTCATTTTGCCATGTCCAGCACAGCTGGCTGCCTCATACGAGCGTCCTGGCCACAAGGTAGCCGCCACTTTCGCTGAGCCTGCGTGCAGAGCTGCCTGGGTAGTCACATGGCCGCAACCACGAGCCCTAGGCGAGACCAGGCGTTGCCAAAGAGCAGGGGGGCTCACCGCAGGGAGTCGCGGTGCCAAAAGAGCTTGAAGCTGAGGCCTCACGGCTGAAGTAGTCTCCTCATGAGACCATGGGTGATGCAAACTGGGGGAGAAAAAAAGACAGGGCCTATCCTCCCCCAGTCTGCATCATCCATATTGTTGAAGAAGAGAAAGCTGGCCTTTGCGTCTCCGCCATCCTCGACATGGACGGCACCCGTGGAGCAGACCACCCGAGTCACCCTACATCTTTGAGTTCGGCACCTGCGGACTCAGCGTGACGGCACAACTCGGACTCCAAATGGCTGTCGACGTGGCTTTTTCTGGTTTAGGGTTTAGGGATCAAACAAGTTCAGAACTGGACTCCAAAACGAAACCCTGACAGGACCAAGAAACAGAAGCTCAGGCGATGACAGTTGCGCGTTCGTGGGAGTCCCTTCTAGATCACGGCTCCTGTTTTGTCCATGCTCAACCTGGTGTCCAGCGAGTGCGCAAGCAGCTCCGAATTCAGTAAACAGCTGGAGGGGCCGAGAGATTCACAAGGCCCGGCTCCCAGGCATTGGCCATTTTCGCCGAGAGTACAAGGGGCACGCATAGTAAATTCTTACGTCTAAACACGCACGTGCATCCACTATGACCACTGTGTAGTGCAATTTTCAGATTTGGGGTTTAGGGATTGTAGGGTCTTGCTCCAAGCCTCTACGCTGGTTTACACAGGCGTTCATGCTAAAGTCGCTGCGTGCACGCTGCAAGAAGCAGAGATGCTCATGGAGTTAACATCAGCAGCCTCTCGTCAGAAGTCTTGGTCTGGAAAGTGGTGATGTCTCAATCTGCTTTTATGGTCCAAAGAGCCAAGGCATCCGAGAACGACATGAACCAGGGATGGAAGTAGTCCGGGCTTGCCCACATATCTGACCGGCGGTCCGCCATGGTGGAGGGGCTCGTGGGGTCATCGACCTGCTGCTGACTAGGCGAGTGAGTCGCATAGGTGTGTTCATTGGCATGGTTGTGAATACGCCAGAACCATCGGGCATAGTCGACACGCAAGTAGCCCTGTGGTAAGCCGTAGAGCTCCAGGATGTGTGCAATGTTGCTTCGGCAGACCTGGCAGGCGATAAAGCACCTTTCCCCCTCAAACCCCTAACCCTCGAACCCTCTGTCTGGTCAAGCAAAATCCTGCTTCGAGGGGCCCCTGTTAGGGTCAAGCACCATCTTCTCCGGGAACCCCCTTTGCGGTCAAGTACACTCTTCCCGAGGGCCCCCTTCATGGTCAAGCACAAGCTTTCAAATTCATGTGCGTAGGACCCAGCGAGTAGACCCTCTTCGCTAACCCTGCGGATGCGTCACTGCTACGACTCTACTTCGTTAGTTTGAATTCGATGCATTCGGCGGCTTGGATAACTGTATGCCTGCAGAAACAGCTTTGCTGTGCTTAAGGGTTCAGGATTCAAGTGTTAGGGGTTAAAGGGTCAGTAGAGATGGATAGTTATCTATCAACCATGACTGTGTTGTTCAGCCCATCGTTGCCTGGCCTTGCACTCGAAATGGCTTGCAAGGTAGAGGATAGCTTCGTGAAATGCGGTCTGCTCTGCTTCTGACAAGACCTGAGGGGTTTAAGATTTCAGAGAGGAATTCAGGTCAATTACAAGGAAATTCTGCCTTGGAGGGTTGATAACACAGCATGGGCTCAGGCTCTATGAAGTCCGAGACAGCAGCGCTAGATTCTCTGGTCTTGCAGCAAATCACAAAATATAACTGACGGCCCCTAGCCCTAAACCCTTCTGGACCGCCCTATGTTGGGCTCAGCACCTCCGCGCCATTCACAGAGAGCGCATGCAGGACCATCCAGGAGCAGTGGTAACCTCATATATTCTTATAGTGAAACCGAAGTCTTCATTCTTCAAAGGGTTCTCCTAGAAAAACCACACAAAGCTCAGGTCTCGGTGAGTAGTATAACCTCTCAAGAGAGCCCACCAAGAATGGATGTTCAAAGTAAGTGGCTCGCCACACCCCTGCCGGTTTGGGGGAGCCACGGAGCTGGAGATCCGTCGGTGTAGCTGCCGAGGAGGCCGCCGTCGTAGTCCCGTGCAAGCACCGGAAGTGGAAACTTCGTGCAGTCTCCTTGCTCTGTCTCCGCACAGACTTTGAAAGGCCACAGGGTTTTCAGAACATCATTCACAGTCGCCGAGAGAGGTTGAGGCACTCCACGGTAGAGGCGGAGCTTCTTGAGGCTCGCCACGGTCCCTCCTTCCATGTTCGCATCGTTGGGCAGCCCATGGCCTATCGTCTCCCCGCCCCCGACGTAGCCCAAAGCGAAGTTGGGACTGTTGTAGCCGAGGAAGACGGAAGCGCACTGCTCGAGCTTCTCCTTAAGCAAGGACTCTTCAGTGGAAGCAACATACGATGCACTGGGCCTTGAGTATCTTGTGAGAAAAACAGCAATAAACCTTTACCAACAACCCCACTGGGTCTGAACCCCTCGTGAGAAGTCACAACAGTGTAGCAAACCCCAAAACCTGAAGCCTACCATCATATAATCTGATGCCAAGTCCAAAACCTGGTCTCCCGAGTCAGCCGGTTCTTCGGGTCGCACGAGGTTGCGTTAGGCTCAGTCCTCGAAAGACCAACAACAACCAGGGTGTGAAGCTAAGAAGTAGCACAAGCTTGGCGAGTCCGTAGGGCCCACGCTTTCTAGGGCCGGGGAATTAGAAAGTTTGGTGATTAGAAAACTTTGGCTCATAATGAAAGAACCCTGTGTGCCTCATGCAGACAGAAAACCATGCACAGACACTTCACGCCAAGCAGCGGTCAGCAGCAAAACTATTCAAGGGGATCCACACTGTCCCCTTTGAAGCGAGGCTTAGTGAGTCCAGAAAGCTAGGGAAGACAGAAAGGACAGTGACCCCTGCGATTGAAGGGAGGAACAGGAGGGAGAGGAAACCACCCGTTCAGTCAAAAGTGATTCGGGAAGACTCTTCCCCAGTGGCACACGTAGAGGGCGGACAATGTGCTAGAGCGCGAGAGGTAAAACCTGAGCCACTTGACAATACCTAAACTTTTAAACCGAAGCAAAGACCGCACAAGGCTACCAGGTGTTGTTTGTGTCATGCGCCTGCTTCCTTGTTAGGCTTACATTCACAATCTAGGTTTGGGTTTGGAATTTGCGCGCCTTGTTCAGGGTCCAGGGGTTGTCCGGTCAGTTCTGTTCCCTCTAATGATTAGCCGTTCCTTTTGGTGTCACACCCTCTTTCAAGCTTCGGGTGTTTTGTAACTTCTTCTTGCGGCATTGGGTTGCGCATTCGCTTTCGGGTTAGCCTTAAGCTTTCGGGTTAAGATGTCGTTAGGGTTGCCCGTCCCTTTCGAGGCTAAGGGCTGTATGCCCGTTTCAGGGTTCACGGTTTGCGACCCCTGCTCGGGATTATACACTTGCCCAGTGTCACATTGTTTAGGGTTCCGGTCTGCGGAACATTCATTGGCCCTGTGTGGGGGTCAGTGGCACGTGGCTGGCCGCTCACTGGCGTCTTGCACGTGTTGGCGATGTTCAACACTCAGTTTGACAGCAGGGCGTTCCAATAATCTAGCCCCCTTGCCCTGTGGCCGATTGGCGATGCACTCATGAGCCACGCTGAAAAAAGCGGGGCTTCCACATGGGCCATGAACCACCAATGCAGGTGCTGTGTTGTTTGGGGGGGAGTGGGAGAAATAGGGCAGGAAGGGTTCAGCTTTTCCGGATGGAGCCCCCAAGAATTCAAGCAGCACTGGCTGCTGCTTGCATCAAAGTCTCCTTCGCTCAACCCCTTCCACCACCAAGACCATACATTTAAACCCTCCAAAGGGGCTGTGGCCAAACAACGCCTTCACACATCTCATCATAGCTTCGTAGCCCTCCCTTTAGCATCCAAGGCGCGGCACTGTCGACGGGCAGATACAGAAGTCCTATGGGTCAAGCGCGGCCATGGGCCAAGCTGGGATAGCGAAAGCATTTTTCTTTCCTCGGGGCTTCTGGGCGAGGGGGGTTTAGGGTTTGATGGGGAAGTTTCGTAATGGCTTCTTCGTGGGGCCTTTACTTTCAAGGGTAATTCGTCCGATCAGACAAGAACCATCTCTTCGACTGAAGAAAAACCAGCTGACAATTCGAGGATCTTTTCAAACAACATCATGTTCGCGAAGACTTAGGTAAACACTCTGCAGCATCGCTGGGGCCAATCTCATGCCGACAATGAGCCCACTCGACAGCAAATGAACGTTGCCCGAAACACCATCGCAATCATCAGCCGATCTGCATGAGGAAAGGATGGGTTTATCTTGCTTCCCTCCGACGCATGTGCCCCACTCCTGCCCCCAACAAGCTCTGCTGGTTCATCTTGCTATGACAAACTCTCCTCCTAAATCGTCTGCTTCAACTAGCGCACGTACGGGCCATGTTGCTGTAACGTGGCCTGCGGCCTCCATTTTACGCGAATGCGCCATGCCCGTCACCAACCATCCATCCACTACAAGAAGTGGTTGGGCACTTGTTGGCTTGATTCATTCATTCTTCGAAGTGTTTTCGCAAGTTGCAAATTTCCACATCGAAATAAAGGCACGGCGAGAAACCAGTGTAGTCATGTAAAACATGCAAGCAACGTAAAAGAATCCGTAGTTGCAGGTCTCGAGACAAAGGTGCGAGCAAACCATGCACGCGCGAACACACACGCCCTCGCGCAGGCCGCCACGGCCACAGCCACACCCTCATCCACCCACACACTCATCCACCCACACACTCATCCACCCACACACTCACCCACCCACCCACCCACCCACCCACCCACCCACACGCACATGCACACGCACGTGCACACGCGCAAACACGCAAACGCACACACGCACACACGCGCACACACGCGCACGCACGCGCACACGTGCACACGCACACCCACACACACACACACACACTCACACACACACACACCACACCCGCACGCACGCGCACGCGCACGCGCATGCGCACGCGCACGGGCACACGCACACGCGCACGCACACGCACACCCTCACGCACCTCACCAGCACGTAGACATACACATACACGTACACTTAATTACACGTACACCTCCACCTACACCTCCACCTACCCCTACACCTCCACCTACACCTACACCTGCATCTACAGCTCCACCTACACCTCTGCCTCTGCCTCTACCTCTACCTACCCATCTACCTCTTGATATGCGCTGTTTTTGTATAGTATACACCGTGCTCATTGGCGCGCTCTCCGCGTTTATGCTGCGGCGGTGTGCATGCGCGCTATCGATAGGGTGTGCGCTGTACGCAGGTTCCGAGTGCTCCACATGAGGTACGTGCTGCGTGCAAGGGACGCAGTGCACGTGGTGGACACGTTGCACGTGTTTGCCGCAGATGCGGTTGCCATGGCATGTGCGGTGCTTTTGCGCGCGGTACGTCGTGTACCCGTTGCACGGGGCCAATAAACGTAAATCTTGCGTCCACTCTTCACACTGGACGTGTCTGTGCCTTCACGGAAAGAGTCTTCGGGAAGTGTTCTGGGTCGCCCACTTGTCTTCGCCTGGCCGAATGTCGTCGTTGTGGGGGGTGTCTGCGCATGTTGAGTTGCCGTTGAAACTACCTTCGTGATCCTTCGTGGGAGGGGCCTTCGGTCGCAATGCGCGGTTGCCTTTGCAACTGTCTTTGCGTTTGGTGTCTTTGGGACGTGTCTTTGTGTCTCCGTCTCAGCCCGTTTCTGCACTGTGCGGGCGGGTAGTGTCTGCGGCGCGTGGATTCGTGCTCGGCCGGAAGAACGACGCATCTGCAAAATGCGGCTTCATGCTGCGAGAAGCGTGTGTTCGTCCCCAACCCTTCCTCGCCCCCCCATCCACGCCCCATCCCACCCAATGGCAGACAATGACTTGGCAGTTGGATAGATTTAGCCGAAACCTTGGCATGCTCGGGGCATTCTCCATCTGGACGTCCGGCGCAGAAGGGCTCCGAAGACCAGCAGCCAGTCTCCTTGGAAAGGCAGGGAAAAAAAAAGTCGCTTGTGATGAGAAGTGGGCCCTGAATTTCAACATGCTTGAATCCCCCAAACCTATCCTAGAAACCTAGCCCTGAACATGCCCTCAGTACAGCCGGAACCGCCTAAGCTGCTCCCCAAACCGCCTTTGCACGCCCCTTACAGTAGCTCTGAGCCCTCTTCAGCTTTACTGTTGCTGGACAGGTTTCGAACTTCGGGTTGCGAAGTTTAGGGGGCGCGGGGTGTTCATGATGTAAAGGTTTTGGTTTCGGTGCACCCCAAAGCCCTTTTCAACCCGAAACCCTAGCCCCTATGAAAATGTCAGTGGCATGGCAATGGAAGTACGGGCCTGAGGAGGATGAGTGGCTTTACCTAGGACCTGTTTCGGCCCCCTAACAACCCAAACCGTAAACCTTTCTTTATGCCCTAAAAACCCTATAGAGACCCCTTCACTCCTAACTACGCACAAAGCCTCTGTAGCCGCCGGTGGTGAACACAAACCTCTAACCACCACGGGGCGAGCTGCTGGGCGGCGCCGCTGTACGCACATCGATGGCAGGACCTTGATCACCTGAACGGTGTTGCTTCTTTCCCGCCTCCCACTTTTCAGCGCATCCTTATTCTTTTTAGGACAACAGGAAAACAAAACAGGGAGGATACGACTTTTAGGACTTGGGATGAGGAGGGGGAGCTGGAAAAAACCCTCCAAAAACGTGCTGGGGCGGGGAGTCGTGGGATTTCACTTCAAAATGGAAGCCGAGATGTGCGCACTCGCGGGGCCCTCACAGAGAAATCCCTGACTTTCCGCTGAATCCTAAGCCAAAGCCTAGAAGCTACAAGTTTGTTCTCGAAGAGGATGTTGGGGCTTAAGGGCTTAAGGCTTTTAGGGGGTTTAAGGGGTCTAATGGGTTGAAGGGCTTTAGGGGTTGAGGGGTTTGGGGGTCGTTTTAGGGTTCTACACTCAAGGCCTCGCCCGTGCAAATCAGTTCATCTTCAGGGCCACAGTGGACGGGGCGCTCAAAGTAGTGGCCGTCTTCCTCAGGGCTTAGAAGGGGCAGTTGTTTATAGGCAAGAAAAGTGCGCTGATGATTGAAGGCTTCGAGGCGTAGGGCCTCGGGTTGAGTTTTTGATTCCTTACAAGTTGTTCTTTTGACTGGTGACTTCTGCACTTACGCCTGAGGAGACGTTTGGACCCCCGAACCTTCATGGGATAGTCCACCTTACCCTCAAAAGCCGGCTCGCAGGCATCGTTCAACTTGGAGTAGGGCAAGCATCCTTGGTTGGGCTGATGGGCGTTTAGGGTTCCGAGTTTAATGAATTCAGGGTTTAGAAAACTTCGGGTTTGGAGAAAGTTTAAGGATAGATGAATAAAGACATGTAAAGACCGACCGCACAGCTGTTTCGGTGAGCGTCTGCCGCGGTTCATGTAGCTCACATCCCATGGATACCAGTTGGGCCTGGCTTCAACTTGACACCAGGTGCCCTCTGGACATTTGTAGTAAGAGTTCCCGTTGCCATAGCAGTCCGTAGCGTATCGATATGTGTAGTTGATGCCACGCCCATTGATGTTGTAGTTGGTCCCTGCAGAGTTGACGGCCTCGTCCTCCCGAAAGCGCAAGGCTTGTATGGCATAGGCTTTCATACTGCAGCCGTGAGGAGCAGACACCCCGTGGATCAAAGCCCAAACCCAGCATGGGGTCTGCTGACATGCTCCAGAAGCCGTATGACATAAATGATGATTGCGCACAGCACCGTACCAAACCACGCTGCGCGAGAGGACAGCGAATGTCGAGTATAGGATTATAGAGAACGCAGAGAACATGAACCCTACTTATAGAGAATGCAGCAATGCTGATGATGTATTGAACATATAACGTATAGGGACCATAAAGCATGAACGCAGTAAAGATTATTGAAGATAGAACATGGAATCTGAAATGTCGACAGTATTTTGTAGAATGTCGAACGTGAAATGTGGAATGCAGAACGCAAGGCACAAACCCTCAACCCTAAACTAGCCCTCCAAGATCCTACACTCCACGGTCCTCGTTCACCGGATCAACCGATGGGTCCGGGAAAAAGGTTTCGTCCAGAGGAGCGCCCCGGTCTGCGCCAGAGGGCTCAAGGTTTGAAGTTAAAGTTAAAGAAAGATCGAGTGGTTGCGGCGTGAGACTTGAGGATGAAGGAATACACTGTAGGGTTTAGGGCTTAGGGCTTGTGGTTCAGGGCGGCTTACGGCTTAAGGTCTCAGCTTTTTTGCTACTTCCGGATTTGGTTTGTGTTCGTGGCTCCTGTTCTGATCTTTCAGATCTCTGTTGATGGACGCAAACCGAAGCTCGGCGTAGCTGGAGACAAACAGCCAACATCCCAAGAATCTCCCCCCTACCCCTAGAACCTGGAATTGCGGGAATACAGTTGGCCGACGGGCACAGATCTTCGGAGCTGCGCCGCGCATGTCGCTAGCTGTTGGCAGCAGGAGTAGTGGCTCGCTGCGTCGGGCAAAGTGATATACTCTGAGCATCTACAAGGAGGTGAGGAGGGTATAGTAGGGCACCAGGGATCGCCCAAACAGACCAGGATTGCGGTTCCAATAAGTGTCCTTGAACGGTCATTGAAGGGTCAATGATTTGCTTCCGGCAATTCTAGCAACTCCTCTTCATTCTACTCGTCTGTCAGGCACCATCCTGTCTCTACAGCCCGGCACAAAATAATGCCCAAGGTCTTGATCATTGGCATTGACAGCTCCAACAAAAACTCTTGCAATACTGCATGCCCACTTGAAGCCTGCAGTTTCATGTCCGAGGGTTTTTGATCAGCTATGGTTTGGGGACTACAGGTTACTGTTCTGCCCAACATATGAGGATTGAGGCAGCAGGGGCGCGCCTAAGCACACAAGAAGCCGTCACAAATAAATAAATGGACGATGTGCGCGACCATAAACCCTAAGGTACAGGATGCTACAACCTTGGAGCTGACGGTGTAGGATTGCATGTTGCAAATAGCTCTGATGATCGGCATCTGCTGGTACATGCAGTGTAAGGTGTCTCATAACGCGGCATGAGAAGACAGCCTCGGCTCTGGTGAGTCCTCGTCTGCAGCAAATCCACAAAATCATCACCTGTCTAGGCTTTCTGATTCGGGCTTTGGTTTTAAACCTTCTTGTTGTTACTGTTCTCACCCTTGCCCGAAGCACGTTCACTGAGTCTGAAAATCGAACAACGCATCGATGACGGCCAAATCCTACCTGTGACGACACAGTCCGCTGCCAAGCAAGCGAGGCAAAGAAGCGTTCTCACGAGCTGCATGGCGAGCGGCAGACGTTCTGCTTTGAACCACAAACTGTTGTCCTCTGCTTGGTCCCTGGTCCCAAAAAGCACTAAAGCCAGCATCCGAAAGGCTGGACTGTTCAGGATCACTCACATACCCTTGTACCCTGGAGGCTGTTTCAACATTTGTTCGCCCGAAGGGCTCAAAGGTTAGGGTTTGAGAAAGAGGAGTTAAGGAGGGCAGCAAGCGTAAACGGTTCGAGATGTTTTGGTCCGCACAGTCCACACACGTCTTGCACAAGGCATCAATCTCCTACTTCGTGTATGGACTGTTTAACGGACCTCACGAGAGTAAAATATACAGGGCGGGATGGGTGGGCCTGGGTGGGTATCTAAAAGAAAACTAAATCCCCTCCCATGTTGATCCACCGCGTATCGGAAGGAAGATCATTCTCTCTCTGCTACTGTGCGTGCTTCTCCGAAGCACTTCATGAAAACATGTGGTTTTCGGAAAGGAGAAAACTGAAAACCTAAAACTGAAAACTGACAGTTCGGAAAAGAGTGAAAATTGATAAAACTGAAAATATGTGAAAACCCAGAAAAGAGGGCAAACTGACATGCACATGTCTGCAAGACTGACAGGCTGAATGCACACAAGCTGACATGACTGAGGGCAACGACGTGACATGCTGTCTGCAACCACCGTCAGAAGACTGAGCGCACAAGCCGGAATCCCTGCCCCTCCAAACAGTCCCCCCCCCCCTCCCAAGCCTCCCGGAAACAATTCGCTTGGTCCGTTTCACTACCCAAGCAGGGCTTGTACCCTGGAGGCTGTTTCAAGGAGGGCAGTAAGCGCAAACGGTTCGAGATGTCTTGGTCCGCACAGCCCACACACGTCTTGCACAACAGAAGTCTGTGAGACGATGTCGAAAGCATCAATCCTCCCTCAACCAGGAGACGTCGTCCGTCATCCCCACTGCCTTCTCAAAGCGAATGTGAAACGGATAGAAGCTTTCCCAGCAGAATCCGCACGCAGTTCGTCCAAGATGGCCCAGGAAAGGGCCATCCATACCGACCTGAAACGTGAATCCAAGCCCGCCGCCCTCCATACTTTCAACAGACCTGATGACCCACTGACATCGCTTGTCAGAATCCCAAGCTTGAAGCGCTCAATCCAATCACCGATCCAATCCAACTGAAGACCCCGCACCACTTCTTCTCAGAGAAAGGAGTACTTGAAAAAGAGCGCCAATGTCAGCCACAAGTTGAACCAGCGGTTCAGACTGCCGCTCAGGCAAATGAGGATAAAAAATCTAGCAAAATTCTTAGAGACAAGCGACCGACTTTGCCGATGAGGCGACAGAGCCAGACAATCTTATTTTTTCCTGAACACCGCATCTCTACGTCACGCCGAAGATCCGGATACAATCTGAGAGCAGAGTCCGCATGATGCTGAGCCAAAGTCCGCATGTGGCATGAGGAAGTTGCACGAATCGAGACAGAAAACAAGTAGCTTTTCGGTGAGGCAGCCTAAACAGGCAGTTCGTTTGCCTTGAGCCCGTCCCTGCCCGGCGGCCCAAAACAGAGCGAGAGAAAGCCGCGGCGTTCCACCCATCAAGACCAGTGGACCGCCTGAGCGTGGCCTTGAAATGTGCGAACAGCGCTGACCTCCGAAGTAAAGGGAACTCATCAAAGCCTTCCGGCGCAGAAAGAGAGAAGGAAGAGCCTCAGCGCGATGCTGGGGGTGTAACAGGGTTTTCCAATGGCCCGCATCAAGCTGTAGAGGGCCTTCAAACGGCAAAGTGGAGCGGACCCAGTGACCCAGTGACACAGCTTGGTAAGGTCCTCATCTTACGGTCCAAGAGTGCGAAGAAGAACAGTGGCAGAAAGACCTAACTGGCCAAAAAAACCAAACCTCGCAGTTAGAATGCTCCAAGCAAACCGAGAGCGAGGCTGCCAAAGACGGGGAGGGGAGGGAAGCCTGTCTGGCCGCGCAGAGCGCTACTGGCACTAAGCTTGTGACGGACCGAAGCAAAGCGAGCGCGAACTGTGGTTCAAGCGTAGTGACCGGACGCCCTACAGCGCTTCAAGGGTGAGCCCAGCCAGAGCTGGTCTTGGCAGGTACCTTGGCGCACGGGCCTGTCCGTGACACCGGCAGGCTCCACGGAGCGGTTCCAATGAGTGTCTTTGAACGGTCATTGAAGAGTCACTGCTTCCTTCCGGCAATTCTAGCAACTTCTCTTCGTTCTACCAGTCTGTCCTGCACCATTCTGCCTCCACAGCCCTGGACACAACATTGCCCAAGGTCTTGGTCATTGGCATTGACAGCTCCGACAAAAACTTGCAATACTGCATGCCCACTGCAGCTTCATGCCCGAGCGTTTTAAATCAGCTGTGGTTTGACAAAAAATAATGTTCTGTCCAACATATGAGAATCGAGGCAGCAGGGACGCGCGTGCACGCAAGAAGCCATCACAAATAAATAAATGGACGATGTGCGCCACAAATCCGACAGAATGCTACAACCTTGCCTAACAGTGTAGGATGCTCTGACAATTCTGGTACATGCAGTGGAAGGTGTCTCATCACGCGACATAAGAAAACAGGCAATAGTGTCTTCGTCTGCAGTATTTTCTAAGCTTTCTGATTTGGAACCTTCTTGTTGTTCTATTCTCACTCTTACCCAAAGCACGTTGACTGCTAGAGTTTCAGAAAGAGAAGTCAAGAAGGGGAAACAAATTCTCAGTGGCAAACCTTCTACAAAAAGCGGCGGGTCAGTCAAGCAGCCTGCACAGCACAAGCATATTGAGAGGCGCCGACTTTAATCAGACGGTACTCCTCAGGTGGCTGCTTTCGTTCCTTGCAAAAGAAAGCAAGAAACAGCGCTTTTTCAGTGCGGCGCAGCGATTCCTGCGACATGGACCCGGTTCCCGCAATGCAGTTGGGAACTACATGAAAAAAAACATTTGTGAAAAAAACAGAATGGGAACGCAAACAAGAACAAAGAAAAAAACATCAAAACAAAAAACAAGAAAACATGAGCAATCGAAACATTGTGCAGCGAGATATGAGCAAATTCAGAAAAATTTAGCCGGTTCTTGAGCCAACGCGAAGTTGTGCGAACCCGCGTCTGGCTTCTCAGCAGGCTGCATACAGCATCTTAGAACGAATTTCATCTTCTACAACACTGCTGAAAAACAGTGGAGAACTCTGCAAAAGCTTGCACTGACAAGTGTGGACCCCCCCCTTCAAACACAATTCAGCCTCCCAAGCTCCTTTGCATCACTGAAGCAGCAACAAAAGGCCTCGGCCTGGACTTTCCGAGACGAAACATGCACAACATGCCAATACTGCAAACATGCAGAAAAAGAGATCA